AGAGGTTGTCGTGCTTCTTTTTTCAGCCACTCGACGAATCTGTGCTTATTACACAGGTGTTCCGTAATGCTGCTCGAATTTGAAGAATATTTGCTTGTTTGGTTGGTTGGTTTCCATCACCATTACCATATTACGTAATCATGTAATATCTGTAAATCTGTAAATCATCAAGCCAGACGGAGTACAATGATGACGCGGAAGTCGCCAGTGCTGATTACCCACCCGATCATCCATTTATATACATTTTAGGACACATATAGCTTTCTGTATTCGTCCCACGCATGCAATTTAGCCTAGCGACAGAGGCGAATAGCAAACGAAAGAGGCAATTACTACATATGGAAATTTGAAATTCTTCCTTTGGCACTGCGCGTATAAAGAATATCTATAAACACACAAAATTCCAAAGTTAACACTGAAGATCTGTATAAATTTGGTGCATCACAATGACACGTAAAATCCCAAATCTACCTCTCAGCAAGTATGGGACCGCGTTTTATACATTCAATTTTATATATATATACCGAGTTTATATATTCCGACCGAGTTTATACATTCAGTTTAAAATATATATATATATTATATATATATATACGCTTAAAAAAATAACTGAATTTCATAAGACGTGTCTGTGTCTTCCTTCATTCGGTGTGTCCGCATTGCGTTTGTCTGTATTCTGCCTCCAATCCACACACACACATCCGATCCGAGACTTGCTCAGGACGACTTCGCCCCACGACGGACAAATGCTGCCGCTGAACTGCCACTGAAATGTCCTAACTCCACAACGTGTTACTTTGCAGCTGCCGATCCGCGTTTTCATTGCGGATCCGATATTAGAGATTAATCTCGAGGCTTGGTGGAGGGATCCGAATTTAACGTTTGGAGTGACAGTTAGCGATTGAATTGTATGGTTAACCAGCCGGCGAGTTTACATGTCAGTTTTACCTGACGCGTTGTGCACCGTATGTCGCTCATAAATACTACATTGCCAATCCACCGCCGAGTCAATTGTTTACACCATTATGTTCAACAGGAACGCACGCGCCTCCCTTTGCTAGCAACAAATACACTGATCGTATCGGGCGGACTTGTTCCCTACAAATGACGAAGCTCTGCAGCTTGTGTTCAGCTGATGAGTGTTGAGTCACTTCCCTCGCGACGTATGCCTTCGGATCGGGTCAGTTTGCTTGCGTTTCGGATACGCGAAGATTAATCTGCGCGAGGGCTTGTTGCAATGGTTGTGCTGACGCGGCTGTTCATATTTTCGGATCACAGCCTACTTATCATGTGCACACTGCTGGGCGCGGCATGACTAATGTTTGTATAGATAGATGTTGCTTGTTGGTTGCTTAAAACAGGTCGACTTCGTTGAATTTTAAACCCTCTGACCCACAAGTATTAGAACAAATAATTTTAAAAAATACTTTTTACAATCATACATACATAATATAGACATGTGATTTTCAAGATATATATTGTATTTGAAACACACATACAACACCCCTGGCGGCGTTAAACAAAACAAACTAAAACTGGGCGCAGCTATATTCAAGCGACATTGCCAATCCTTTTAAATAATCGCATCATAAGTGTATTTATAAAATTACGGCTGTTTGGACTGAGGACTGCCATTTACGGACCTTTTAATCCCTAGGTGGGGAAAACAATAGAATTAGAGGGGAAGACGAACCTTTTAATCCCTAGGCGAGGAAAAAATTTGCATACTAGTTATCTGCCTCTTTAGATTCTTGGTGCAATACCACATTTAAAGTTTGCAAAGGCAGAACGGTAACAATTTCTTTTTTGCACTCAGCAATATGCCAGCCATATGAAGGCGGTCTGTATATAATCGAGTCTGGACCAGTTAATCCAGTGATTGAGATCATGAGTATCGACCCACACAATTGGGATCGATTATATGTGACAACCAAGTCAGCGAGCCTAACCTCCTGATCCCGTTCGTCGCCTCTTACGACAAGCACAGTCGCTGAGAAACCTTACATTACCACATAAATCGTATCATTAGTGTAACGGTATGGTTGTCTGTTTTGTGCCGGACCCAAATATTTATTTCCTTGAAACAGTTTGTGACGACTTTAATTGAACACGATCAACTGGGCTAACTAACACACTGCACATTAAAGAGATCGAGTTGATCGAACTGTGCGTACCTACTCTCTCATGAGGACAAGATGTAGCGCGAAGAGATTTGAGTAGCAGTCATTAAGTGCCGCTATGTGAGTGATTTTATGTGCGTTTCACGCTTCTGATTGAAGTGAAGTACAATCTCCATTAATTTACTGACGAGACGGATTTGAGGTTGTGTGTGTGTGTGTGTGCGTGCGCGCGTGGTGGTGTGGGTTTTTTTAATATTCAGTATTTACTCTTTTGAGTCCCATCAGGTGGGTATTATTAAAACAGTAAATAGACCTTTCTTTTAAATGTTTCTGCTCAAAATGCTGTTTCAGTTGACTTTTAATTTGCATCTGTTTGTCTCACATCAGCTCACAGAGATATACATGTATTAGTTATATTAAGGTGAGGTGAGGTGAAATGGGGTTTAACGTCACGTCCAAGATTATTGCACTTATATAGCGACGTTATTAGTTATATTAAGCAGTACAGAGTACTTTGGTTCATTATCCACTGCAGTATAGTTCCTGTATCAATCAGTGAATAAAGATACGTTTTAGTTTGAGAAGAATGATCTGACCTCGCAAAACTTATTGCTCCAATAGTGGGGTGAATGTTCACACTATCAAGCATTTGTCCCACTCCATTCTTGAAAACTTAACACTATCAATGACAAAAATATATAAAAATAATTTTAAAACAAAATGTTTTTTATTTATTAATGAGAAAGTAAGGGGTAATTTCACTTTTTTGTAGTTATCCAGCCTGTGTACTTATTCACTGAACCAAGTAATAGATAGCACTCTCCATAATGAAAAGAAGAATGATATTCCTTTACAAATGTCCAATAATCTACTTACACCTACATAGTCCCTGACATAGAGGTACCGGTATGCATTAAGTTAAATAATACCATTCTGCAAGGAAACCCACGAGTATTAAAGTTACCCCCAAGTCTCTGAATTTCAAGCCTAGAGCTGAAATGGGACAAAAGTGAGTGAGTGTGATTTTACGCCACTTTTAGCAATATTCCAGCATCATCATAGCAGGGGACACCAGAAAGGGGCTTCACACATTGTACCTAGTGGACTGCAAGAGCTGACAATGGGATGAGAAGAGAATTTGGGTGAATGTTTTACTAAATACATGCCAAAGGTCTGTAACAGAGACTATATTCTATATGATAGTCTCATTTTTAGAACTAAAGCAGTAAATATGTGAGACTTTTGTTTGTGTAGTTGATAGGCTGTATTTGTTTTCCACAGTGGAATATATTGTAATATACTCAACAACAAAAGTTACTGTGAATTTTTGACTCGGTGCAAGACACTGACTTGTCTTAAACTGTTAAATTTTGTGTAATATTTAGCAAAATGGCAACTAAAATCAAATTAAGTTCTGTGTATTTAGACGAGATAATCAAACACAATGTTATCGCTTGGGTTTGAATCCAATTCGATTTGTTTTGCAATGGACTTGAGCACAGAAACACATCTTGTATGATGCTTGAAAACATGATTATGTGTTTCATTGTGTGTCAGTATACTTTAAAAATTTGTTTTGTTTACTCGTCAAGTACTTGTATGAATCTGGCTCTCAATTGCGCTGGGTTTTTTCTCAATGTATACTGCTTACTTCCAACTCTGGAGCTCGAAGTCTTACATCATGACTTCATATTGAGTACTTCCTTATGTAGTTAGCTGTAAATGCATAACATACTAAAGTTCAAGATCAGTAGAACTAATAGATATAAAGTTCAAGGTCAGTAGAGCTAATAGATGTAAAGTTCAAGGTCAGTAGAACTAATAGATGTAGATTTCAAGGTCAGTAGAGCTAATAGATGTAAAGTTCAAGGTCAGTAGAACTAATAGATGTAAAGTTCAAGGTCAGTAGCACTAATAGATGTGAACTATCATGACAACTGTCTTGCCAAAAGAAACCCGACGGAACTGGCTGAATTTAGCAGTTAGCTGTTAAAGCTCTATTAGAGAATATAATCAATGTTTAAAAGAAAACAAGTTTAAAGGTAAAATTAACAAAACAAATATCAGAAAGGTTGTGTTAGACAATTGCAAAGAAACCTGACTTTGCCCCTCTTTTTGATGAGGCAATAATAACGTACACCTGCCTCACATATGTTAATCGTCCACAAGAACAAGGATTACACTTATGGACAGTTAATGTACATAGATGCAGTCCATTAGGAAAAAAAACATAACAGAAAAAGTAAAATGCCTCCTGCCGGAGAATATAAAAAATATAGATGAAAATCAAATGATTAATTCATAACAGCATAAACCAAATATTTTGCCATGTAAAAGTATCCATGTTTTATGTAATGCTCATAGCAAATATTGTTTTGGTCACACCTGCTCAGTATAAACGATGTTATCAGCTCTCCGAAGCGTTGTAAGTAAGTAAAAGCGTTGAAGATTCAGGGGAGGTAATTACATAATGGTAAATTATCTCCCTTTATTCACTGCTAATCCAGTAGTGTACATAGGACGTTTGTCTAGTGTTCAAGACATGCATGGGCTTGTGGTACACAAGCACTTTTATGCTGTGAGTGGTTGACTAAGCACTATCACTGGATAACTAGTGACTAGGCAAGATCATCTCAACCCCTTCTGAATCGGGGAGGAATAACCATGTTTAACTTATGTTTGCCCTGTGTATTAAATGCTCGAACAACACCCTGTATCAACATGCATGGTCCCAACACTTGATATTGATCAATATTTACCACATAAACAGGTCAAAACATCCAGGTATCAACTTTCCTCCAATGTGAGAGACTCTTCAACCAGACCACAAACAGGTCGTTGGTCTCTCATCAATATATCAACTTGATTTCAAAACAAACGAAAAATTCATAAAACTTTATTGTCAAAAGTCTTGAAAACAAGTGCACTTAAGGTGTTGGCTAGTTTTCCAGATCTTCTTCAATCATGTCCCCATTACTGACCGCCGGGGTCAACGTCCTCTGTGACACATCTATCCTCCATCGGTCTCGGTAACTATGTTCATGATGAAGCTTGCCTTGTACGGAGCTGGAAATCCCCGAGGACGAGGACAGATCTGAGTTAATCAACACCCAGCCTCGATTTTTTAAAACTTCACAGAACCGTAACCTCACACTAGATGAATTAAGTTCAACTTCGATAAATTCATTTCCGTTTTTTTCTCGCAGCTTTTCTTTGGCCTCGTCACCAATCAGCTGTTCTGGGAGGGTGAGAATAACGTCCTTTCGTCCAGACAGCACTGTCTTAATGCGAGAATTGTTTGTTGGCATTGTCGCAGACAGTCCAGTCCTCATTTCAATTATTTCTAAATAATGGGACTCTAGTTTATCAGACTTGTCTTCAAGAGCATGGTTTATTGCGTCAATCAACGGACTTATTTGATAAAAGTCAGCCTCAACCAGAAGCAGGTCATAATCGGAAAATTGAGTCGGTAATGCTAATCGTGTAGATCGTAAAAAGTTTAATATATGTCGAAATATCTGCCCATCTCTGTCAATAAACAAATGTCCATGCTGGTCTTTAGTCATTGGGAACTTTCCACTGATCATGGCTCCGAGCATGGAGTCGGGGTATTTACTGAGCGTTGATTTGGTCGTGGTGTAGAGGACGCCCCCTACGTTCAGGGTTATCACAGAATCACACATCATCATCATGAAGTCAAATTATCACAATACGTTCACTTGGAAATCTCCCACTGTTGCGTCAGGGAACAGAGCTGGTGACATCATGGTCCTGTGTACCACCTGCAACAAACAGAAATGAGCGGTTTCGATGGTATTTTATTTTTTGATGAAAAATCGGGGTTCATAGGTGGTGAAAAAAGAAACAGAAAAAAGTAACTGAATCTTGTTGTCTCATTTAACCATCGTCTTGCACTTTAACCAGTTTATCTCTTTGGGTTTAGGTACATGATTGAATAAAAGAAATGCTTTGCAGATTTCAACTTTGTTTCCACTTTTCATGTTTTTGTTAACTCATTTTTAAAAATGTCTAGATTTTACTACATGTTGGAGCAGAGTTTGTGGATATGCAGGTTGCAACCAACACTGGTTTGGTGATCAAAACAGATACCGAGGCGCAGCAGAGTCGCGAAGCAATGGGACACAACTGACATTGCAGAATGTTGATTGGTAGATTGGTAGGATCACTGCAGTTCACTCCCAGATAAGTGAACCTCAGCTAGTGTCCGTTACAATTATCAGTGAATCAGTACTACGCCAAAGTTTGTGGCACATCGACACTGCAGACTGCGAAATGAATATAGTCTCTGATCCTTGTGTAACCATCAAAGGTTTAAATACTTCAATCCTCATCACACAAAAATTCTGAATTATTAACAGCATTTTTAATGTCATCACACCTGCAGATGTTTGGTATTACCTTGCTCAGCAAGTTGACCATTATCTAGAAAAACATATTATTTACTACTGGAACAATGATATAAACAAAGTCTGTCCCAAAATAGAGCAGGCTGATGAACATGTTTTAATATCGATGGATCTGATATCATTCATTTATCTTGATATTTACAATTAAACGCATCGAACAAGATATGCGTATATATCATGATGAAGGCTATATTTAAAAGAGTGACACCAGAAATGGGCTTCACACATTGTACCCATGTCGGGAATCGAACCCGGGTCTTCGGCATGACGAGCGAACGCTTTAACCACCAGGCTACCCGACCGCCCCTATATTTAAAAGAAATCTTGTCATAAACGATTCACAAATGTGACACCTAACACATTTGTCTTCGGTCGGCATGAGCTAAATATTTCATTTTGACCATTTTGTTTGTAACTCGTTATGGACACTGGACTCAAGTGTTTTTGTAACATACTCTGACTCAGTGGGAACCTATGGCATCGGGTTACATTCCTACTAGAAACGGCGTATGCTTGCAAAACAAAGTAAGACTAATAACCTGCTTAAATTGAAGTTTTATTGATCAGATGATCAAACAAAAATAGCATTTCCTGCATCATAATTCCATTTCCAACCAACACTTGAGAAAGATAAACACATTATGCCCGCTTCCATGGATTTGAACGTGAATAGGCGAAGGCGTGCCTTTGTTTTGATATCGACGAATCTCTCCCTACCACCAGCTGATCTCCGTGATAAATGACCCTGAACAATCGTCAGTCACATCGACCCTTCGTTTTTATTTATTATTGTTTACACGAGACTCACCGCCCCAATAAACTTGCTCCTAGAAGTTGGCACACTCAAGTAAACATTTTCTACACATATTCACCAAGTACGTACAGCATACACAACTCGACCATTCATTCCTTGACTGACGTTTTGATTTTTCTCAACGTGTTGCCAAATTACGGAAGTAGATGGCGATCCACTCGTACTCCATACAGCGGCAGTTTACATGGCCGTGATAGGAGCTTTCGCCACAACTTGCAGTTCAGAAAAATACCAGTGGCCCGTTCCACAAAGCGATCTTAGAGCTACGACTATCTTAAGCCTAAGTTAAAGTATGGGAGTTAAGATCGTCTTAGTACTGCGATCGCTTTGTGGAACGGAGCCCTAGTTATCAGTTTTGATTTTTCATTTCTATCTAGAGCGGATGTGGCAGTTCTCGGACACTTAACGTTCTTAACGGCATGCATGTTAACCAAAACCATATATTGTAGAATACCACTAATGTCTCTAACAAATATTATTTGTTTCATAAACAGTAGACAGTTGTAATTATAGGAAAAGAACACTTATAACAATTTTATTCTTGAGAATACAAACATGGTAAATGTTTTTTTTATAGTTTTCTTTTCTGTCATTCACAAGTTATTTCGGATTAATCAAGTACAGGAGAATGCTTAAAATGAGTGAAAAAGGTCTGCGGGAACCTAACCACACTGGAAAATATGTTTAGATTCTAAACACAAACGTAAGGGCTTTTTGACTTAGGGTCTATATATGTGCGAGAGACCCACAAACACACCCACGCACGCGCGCACGCACTTGAAATTCATAATTTTATACAAGAGACGCTTTCTATATGTTTTTAGCGTTTATTGGGAGATATAGAAATTTGTGGGTTGACTCTGAAAAGAAATGGGACAATCGTTCTTTCATTGCCAGATTATATTTCCTGTATGGTAGAAATACTATTAGTTATACAGCAACCAGCACAACAATGAACACGACACTTTCCATACGTGAGCGGGGTACAAACATGCATCCTGATTTGTAGTTATTAGAGTCAAGTCAGCATAATCTCAACATGATTCATATGTACATTATTATGTTAATATTGTACCAAGTTGAGTGTGTGTGTGTGTGTGTGTGTGTGTGTGTGTGTGTGTGTGTGTGTGTGTGTGTGTGTGTGTTAGTCCGGACTAACCCCGAGTATTAGTGCAAGCTCACTGAGATAACATGCCCCTGTTTAACACGAATACCCCACTCAGACACAGTAAACTGTGTCGATCAGTCCTCGTTATATCCCCTTAATGCCGAGCGCCAGACATTGTCTGATTTTGCACCTGTAGATGATACAATACTTCGTCTCCATACAAAAAAACCGTGTCTCTTAGTTTAAGTGTCCTTCCGTTTACCGTATTTCTTCTTATCGACGCAACAATGTATTGTTTGGGGCTGACACCTTCTTCTTTTTCAACAGTCTGAAGCATAACTATTTTTTCAAGTATTTTCGGGGACAATTTTATATGTTTTCTATAAAATCCCAGGCCCAGAATATCTCATGGTCATTCTCTTAAAATGACTCGTTTATTTTAGACTCGGTGAGCTTCTTCTTCACTGCAGGGGCGGTCGGGTAGCCTAGTGGTTAAAGCGTTCGCTCGTCGCGCCGAAGACCCGGGTTCGATTCCCGACATTGGTACAATGTGTGAAGCCCATTTCTGGTGTCCCCCGCCGTGATATTGCTGGAATATTGCTAAAAGCGGCGTAAAACCATACTCACTCACTCTTCACTGCAAGTTATAAATACTTTTTATTATGGTTTCTAAATTGGCATAATTCATTTATCAGGTAATCGATAGTGTTATGGGTGCCACAAAACAAGTTTATAAACTGCAAAGAAGTCAGCAAGCAGGGTCTATACTTTAATGCCCCATACTGTTATGTGGTATTAGAGATTGTTGTACGTTTATTTGTAGTGACCTGAGTCATGTCATTGAGGGCGACTTGATCCATGTTTCGACCAGCCTATCTTATCTATATGCCAATCTTCCCGAGGCAAGGGAGCTAACTGACTGTGAAAGTCCGGGTTCTACCCTTGCCGAACTAGGCTGGTATAACGTGGCTCGATGGTAAGTGGGTATGGTTTTACGCCGCTTTTAGCAATATTCCAGCAATACCACGACGGGGGACAGAAATGGGCTTCACACATTGTACCCATGTCGGGAATCGAACCCGGGTCTTCGGCGTGACGAGCGAACGCTTTTACCACTAAGCTACCCCACCGCCCCAGTGTCTACTTGATCGATACACCACTCTCTTGCATGTTTAGATCGGAGCTTCCAGATGTGTGGATGATTCTGTGGACAAACATGACAGCAACTCATTGGCACTATATGATAAACGGGGCAGTTTTCTCAAACATTGTATTTATACGCGTTTCCACCGTTACTCGATTGTGCGAAATTACGTCTAAAACATAGACAAATTTAAGAAAGACAATATATTTTGGAGATTATTACCCTCGTGTGTTTCCATTTCGCTAAAGGCTCTCATACCACAATTTGTATTTCTAATGATATGATAATTATGATAGCAAAACATACTTGGCTATCCCGTTCTACCCCGTTCTAAACAAAATACTAGAACGAGCTGTGATAACGGTAGAACGCGTAGTTTGGCGTAAAATACGATGCTAGTTCGTTCATAAGCAGTCCTCAATATGTCTATCTCGTTCTTATCTCGTTCCAAAGAGATGTCGACCCGGGCGATGTGCACACGTACTGAAATTTATGTCGGACTGCACCACGTCCTAACACGACCCTAGTAGGTTCGAAGTACGGCAATTCCGTTCGAAGTGCGGCAATTCCGTTCGTAGTACGTCTTTCTCGTTTTAAGTACGTTGCCAATCCGACTAATTGCAGGACGGGATAAAACTTTGAGCAGACTTAAACTGTCAAAGTTCTGGAGCACCCTCCCCGCCCGAGCCCGTCCATGAATTTCGTAAAAAGACTGTCAATAGTTGCTACTACGTCCACTACGTTCATACACAGTTGGAGCCCGTTCGACGACATTTTCACGAACGTATTGAGAACTACTTTGGTGTGATGGGGGTATTAGTGACAAGGGGTCTGGATAGTTTTTGACGACTGATGTTGGATGTAATACGGTAAAGTCAGGTTTTTAATTCTAAAGGGGTTCGGGATAATTTAATTCTGACGCGGTCTGATTGCTATGCGAACAATGACTGCCGACAGCCATTGAATTTTATTACCCAGCCCGAACCAGGCGATGTACAAGTTCAATTCAGGACGTTAAACCTCACATGTAACCTTCATACCTTGCTAAGCCCATCCAATGATGTCAAACTTGCCATCCACAACATACAATGAAATAATTTTCAATAACATCATTGTTTATTTTATTCATAAGAAAAAAATTCACAAACGCATTTAAGCAGTGACTTATTTGTTTACCGACCATGAACCATGTACTCTACAGAAACATAAATGCAACGTTTGAAGCAGGAACTTTTGACGCCTATTTTTACACCGGCCGACTGTAGGATTGTGTACAATGTATTTATACGAGCAATGGCGTAAAAATGTTTTGGGTGAGTTGGCTTAACCCAGGTTAATTTAACTTAACTGTTCTTAATGTATTATAAATGACACAGTTCACCAATAAGTTTTAATTTTGAACATTAGATTTTGTTTGTTTGTTGTTTTACGCCGCACTCAGCAATATTCCAGCTATATGACGGCGGTCTGTAAATAATCGAGTCTGGACCAGACAATTCAGTGATTGACATCATGGGCATCGATCCACGCAATTGGGACCGATGACATGCATCAACCAAGTCAGCGAGCCTGACCACCCGATCCCGTTAGTCGCCTTTTACGACAAGCATAGTCGCCTGGTGAAGCATGGTGAACATTAGAGGGGGGATTGGTCATTTATTAGAGGGAGTGGGGTATATTTCATGAAACAATATTACATGTGATTGTGTGTGTGTGTGTGTGTGTGTGTGTGTGTGTGTGTGTGTGTGTGTGTGTGTGTGTGTGTGTGTGTGTGCGTGCGTGTTCATGCTCTCTATGTTATCATATGTTATCAAAATCACTAAGAGACTGCTTATCCCGATGACAGCCTGTGACGGCTGTGACCTCCTCCTCCAGACCTCCACGGCAACGTCGCATTGAGTTCACCAACCTCTGAGGTTGCTGTGCTAGAATGGCTCGTCACTCGCAGCTGCCCCAATGCACAAGCTCATACCAATCTAGTCTGTCTCCCAGGCCCTATATAATACATTGAGAATTCCAACCCAATTCTAGAAGGATTTGTCGTCTAGATTGCCTCAACGCTAGGCCTGAAATTATGCATTATGCCTGGGCTCCATTTGGATATACATGTATATTTTATATTTTGTAGATACATATCTTTAAAAAGATAATTTTCAGAGACAAAACGTTAACCTAACTTGCATTACGGCGTGTCAGCTTGTGTAGGTAACTCCAAAGTAGCACAAGACGTAGACACTTACACACAGTTATAAATATTGTGCTGACAGGCAAAGCATAAAACACAGGACACCCCAGGATTCAAACCCAGCCCAGGCAGCACCAAGGACACAACTCTTCCTACTGGGCCACACTTGCTCCCCTTGTCATGGCATCAGAGCATGTTTCTATGGCCCTGATGTATTTCCCCACACTGAATCACATTATAGTAAACTTGACATACACGACGCCAAAATTAATGAGTCGTTTAAAATAATACCTTCATTCTTTCGGCTTTCCCCACTTTCGGAAAACAAAATGTAGTCTGTTGTAGGCAGTATAATTGACTGAGAGAGGATGGTGATAATTTTGGACCCCTCCCTTTTAAAAATGTTGGGTCCGCCCTTGTTTGAACACTTCATGAATGACGACATAATGATACTGCAAACTGGACAACAACGTGTCCAATACAAAGCACCCTCGATTATCCAGAGTATCATTCCGTGTACTTTGATATACGCCCTGTACCCATTCGCCATCTTAGCTTCGTTTTGAATGACATGACGCCCAAAATGGACGTCCAATCAAATTCCTCGGTTCTTCCATGCTCTGCGTGAGCGTGCAAACATAGGGCCAGTATAATTGTCTCGACTTGTCGCAAACACACGGAACGTCTTGCAGCATAAGGACTTCTTTCATCTGTC